GGGGGGTGATGGTGGACGGAGCGGGTGCCGTGGCGATAGGGTTGACGAGCGTGTGGACGGCAATTTTATGCCCCGTGGTCGCTACGTTTTGAAGCGGTTGAGACACRGGGGTAGGCMGGATGACAGTATTGYGTCTCGTGWAYGCAGACGTCGTGTCCAMATTGCGATCGACACAGGGGCACRTGACATGYGGYAGGACCCGGTTGCCGTTTCAGAGGACGAGATGGGAGATCCTTCCAACGAGACGCAGCGCGACCCGGTTCATGCAGAGGAGCTAGCCTCGAACACTGATGCGATAGTGACGGAGGAGGATATAGGGTTCAGGATCACTCATCCCCGGTCGCCAGCGCCGGTTGTTGGCACAGAGGAGGAGACGGAGTTCGGAGGACCCGGTCCACTCCGCCAGGCGCAGACTCGGTGCACTCCAGCAGGCGCCCCAGTCYACTCCACAGGAGTGGGTTTGGAGGACGGCGAGGSACAACRTGAGCCGCCTCCTCACACGAGTGACGGCGTTCTAGAGGAGGGAGAGGTTGTACCCACTCCCACTTGTGGAAAGGACGGGGAGGACGAACGTCCTCCGACGGACCACCACGTCGGCCTCGACTGCCCGCCCGACAGTCTTCCACCCACCGACGAGCTATTCACCATGGATTCCGCCTTGGCATCTCTGCCCAATATATCGCTACTGATATCTCCCACTTTGCCGGTTGTGGCACCACCGGAGCCTGCTAGACGAGATGACGCGCGTCGTGACAGAGGGTTTGACGAGTTCGGCGGCGACACGATACTGCATCCTCCAGAGTCCGGCACTCCCGCCATTTTTCATGTCGGTGCACYGTGGGCGGTGGAGCAGGGGTTGGCGGAGGAGGTAGCACGGAACCGTCATGGTGGACCGCACGTCGCAGCTCAACGTAGTCTGGAAGGTTCACTAGAGGCAGCGTCTGGAGATTTTTTGGCGCAGGGGGGTCATGGTTCGCAGCTAATATCGGACGACGTGTCATCAGTCCATCCACCAGAGGAGGGCCCGCAGCAAGAGCCACATCGAGGGCCAGCGGAGACTTTAGAGGCGAGGCCTCCCGGAGTTATCGGCTCGGACGGAGGCGAGGGCGTGAGCGAGGATACAGCGCAGCCAGGGAGCGCAGATGGTGGACGGTCCTTCAGGGGGGGCATCGAGCGCAGAGGGTCATCGACCGCACACCCCAGCATTGTCAGGCCCAGCACACATGACGTTGGAGACGGGCACACAGATGAGCCTCGACCGCATTTGACGGGGATGCGTGACATTATGTGTCCACCACCCTCACGCCCCTCTGCCGGTGATCCTGCCGCCCACGGGCAGGCCGCACTGAGCGCATTGCCTACGAGGTCTTTCTACGACAGTGCGGGCATGGACCGGAGGGCGGGC